TTCTCTCTTCTTCTCCTTCCTTCCTCTTCCTTCCTCTCTCTCTCTCTCTCTCTCTCTCTTTCTCTTTTAGTTGACAAATCATTTTTACATATTTAAGGTGATTTTGCTCTTTTCCATACTTCTTTTTTTTTTTAAATCAATACTTTAACTCATCTCAGAAGTAAACTTCGTCCTGTTCTATTTTTATCACATTAATTTCTAATGATTTATCTCAATTTAGAAGAAACTTTCATAGTTTTATCAAAACTATTTTGTAAATTCTTCATTTTAAAACTATTTTTACAATTTTTTTTGTTGAAAATTTGCATAAATTCAAAAAAAACAAATAAATACAAAAAAAGGAAAAAATAAAATTAAATAGTAATAATGAATTTAAAAAGAGAGAAGAAAAAAAACATTGCGAATAATATTGGAAATGAAACACTAATTAATTATTTATTTATTTATTTGTTTACTTATTCATTCAATTTGTTTATTGTTTTTTTTTGTTATTTGTTTATTTGTTATTTTAAACATAAAAGTTTTCGTTGCAAAAAAATTTATAATTGACTGCATTACATTTTAAAACACTGATTATTCTTAAAACTAATTAATTGGTGATTTAAAAAAAAAAAAGTTGTTCGATTGTTGCAATTAATTATCCCATAAACGTATTAATTTTGTAAAAATTGAGTACAAATTAATTACGATAATGTTTGTTGGTTTGTTGATAACTTGACATTATTTTGATAAATTATCATTGACACAGTTTTTTTTTTTTTTTTTAGCGTTTGGGAACAATTAATTTACAAAGAAGTTTTTTTTGATTCTATAAGAAAAATGAATGGCCAATTTGTTAGCCTTTGGTGTCAACCAATAATGTGACATCAAATACAACAAACACCATTTATTTAAACTTTTCTAATCAATTGAACCTTTGCTTTTCATCTTTCATTTTTAAATTCAAGATTTTCGTCACAAAATTCTGTTTGCATAAAATAAAAAACCACTAAATTTGATCAATAAATATGAATAGATTTTATTGCATTTGACTGATATGATATCATAAATATTCAGGTAAGCATTAACTTACTTCCGGAATAGGATAATTTCCGGAAAATGATTAAGTGAAAAAGGCCAGGGATAAAGGTAACTTGACAACGTTATATTTCACAATTCAATCATATTACCTTATCATAATTTATAATAAATGTGTTGATTTTTTTATCAGTTTTTTTAAGAGTTTTTTTTGCTAATTTTACTAAATTTTACTGCTAAAAATGTATAAATATAAATTGCCAATTTTATATTTATGCATTTTATTTGTTATTAAAATGATTTGAAAACAAATCTAATTGTTATCCACCATTGTTTAAATGAGTATTTAGTCTTATGCATTTATGTATATTTGATAATTAACATTACAATATCATTATTATCATTAATTGATAATTTAAACAAATTAAATTTCCAGTTTAGTGGGAATTCTACGAATTTCATTGAATTTTATTTTTCATCCATCAAATAATGTCCTTTTAATCAATTTTAGGGTATTTGATCAATTAGCAATTTTAAAGAAATTAAATTTTTAGTTTAATAAGAGTTTATCAATTCTTTAAAATTTCTTTGAATTTTATTTTCTAACGATTGAGAAGATATTTTTGATCAATTAATAATTTAAATAAAATAAATTTTCAACTTATGTGAATTTATTTTGAATTTTATTTTCCAATCGTCAACTGCTATTTTCCCAATAAATTTTAATGTATTTGAATAATCAAAAGATTTAAATTAAATTAAATTTTCAGTTTGATTGAAATCTACCACTAATTTCTAAATTTTCTTTTTCAAATATCAAGCAGTATAGTTATAAGATAATCAAACTGTACGATATCATTTAAGATGTCCCATACATCGTGACACCAGATATATTGTCCATTAGGAAGTCCATTCTCACCACATGTGGTCCTCGGTTTATTTTACTTTTTCATTTGTTTACAACCACTCTTTCATCCTATTTATTGTTTTTGAATGTAGATATGTTACCGGAAATTGTATTCATATAGTTTGGTTGTCGGTAAAATATAATGTGAATTTGAAATATAACTTAAATTTGAACTTAAAATTCAATTTGAACTTGTCATTTCTTTATCATATATAACTGATAACTTCCTTTTTAATCATTTTTATCGCTAAAAGGATAATTTTTGAATAACATCCATGAAATATGAAATACTAAATTTCGTTTCATTTTTCCTAATTATTACAAAATATGCAAAATATAGGTAAAAGAAAAAATTTCGTTCATTTTTTAACACACTTTGAATTATGCAAGTATATATTTCGGCCTTTTTTATTTGCTAAATTTATAATTTAATTGGAATTTCTGTAATTTAAAAAGAATTTGGAATTATATTACAAATTATTTGAATATCTTTTCGTGAACGAAATTTAATATTTATAATTAAAAAAAGGAATAACTAAAGTAAAATTAAACAAAAATGAAATTAAAATAAGAAAAGAAACGGTTATAATTTATTAGTTGAATACATTATCACTGCAATAATTGTCATCAATAACTACTGGTTAGCTTAATAAAATTATTTCGGGGATGGCTTAAACTCTTGATACGGATGACAATTCTTCTTTCACTTCTCCTCTTTGTTCCAATCTCATCAATTTCACAGCAAAATATCACCATCATCGTCATTATCATCATTATCATCATCATTATTATTACCATCATCATCATCATCATCATCATCATCATCATCATTAATATCACTATTTTTTTTCCTTCGACCTAAATAACCTATTTTCCTCATTTCTTTTGCTATTTATTTCCAGAAAGAGCCATAATTTCTCTTTTTCTCTTTTTCTCTTATCTTTCTTTCCTTTCTTCTTTTTGATCCTTCGCTGCCGAAAAGCATTTTAACACATTTATTCCTTCCTTTCTTTCTTCTTCTTCTTCCTTTATCCTTAACTGAATTAACAGTTGCAGTTCGTTTTAGTTTCATTTTAATAAATTTGAACATTATGAGAGAACTTACTCTTCTCTCTCTTCTTCTTTTCCCTTTTCTCTCTTTTTTATATTTAATATAAATGACTACATCTGTGTTATACTTTTCTTCTCTTCCTCTTTCTTTTATAAGAAACGAAAAAACCAAAATATCACAAATATTATTTACATTGCATAATATAAACAAATGTAATTTAATAAAATTTAGTTTTTTTTCATTAAAATTTTTTTTTTCACTTTTTTGTTTCATTTTTCATTTCTCTTTCTTTTTTCTTTTGTACGTACAATACAAAGATGAGAAAGAGAGAGAGAGAGAGAGAGAAAGAGAGAAGAGAGAGAGAGAGAGCGAGAAAAGAAAGTTAAACTTTTTTTACGTTTTACCTTACTAAGAAATTAAATTAGTA